TCTCTGCACAGTTGCCTACTATGACTTCTTGTTCAAAGAGAATTGACTTCAGAAACCCTGAAGGCAGAATACCATGTATAACATTGAACGGAAAGCACAAGGCATGTTAAAATTCTGAAATACTATTTTTTCCTTGACTAATGTCAATATAATGAAATAAGTCAAGGCCATTCAGCATCTTGTCTCTTTAACAGATTAGGCAAGGCTATTTCACATATTTGAATTCTTGTTTTCAATGGAAGTCGCTCACAATTGAAAATATTGGTGCACTGCAATGCTTGTTGGTTGCTTTTGTGAGAAGGGTAAAATGTAAAATTTCAGAGAATGAAGGAAAAGGCCAGCCACTTTTTATTGCTGGAAAAAGCAATTAACCAATCAATGATGTCTCCCCTCTTTACACTGATAGGGGAAAAATGGTTAATTGTTTATTTCTTTACTGATCTTGTTCAGCATCACAACAATTGGTGATCTTCAGTCACACCTGTCAAAATCATCAAAGGCATGCCAGAGGAAACCAGTTCTTTTTTAACTAAGTGGTTGAAGAATTTTTCTAATGCTCATTCATTTTTCATAAACGATGTTTACTACATGAGCAATTCAGTATTTTACTGTTGCATTATTTTTAGAACACACTGAATAATTCAGAAGACAAAGAAAAGTTTAGCTAAAGAGCTGAGTCTCAGGAAGCCTACTTTGCAGGGGGCATGGAGCAAAAGGTGGGCTCCATCCAGAGAGTGAACTCTCCCCTCTCTTGAAAATACTTGTTTGAGAGAAGGTTAAAAATTTTTTTTTACTTTCTCCGATTTCACACATGGGAGTGTGGAACCGCAATATATTCAGACAAAATGAAGAGAACTCAGCGATTTAAAAAACAATTTCCCTTGCAGGTTAGAAAGAAAGTCTGCAAGAGGAAATGACTAAATCCGCAATGTATATCTTCATTGACAGCTGATAATTAGCATGCAGCTTAGCCATAATAATTAGTTCCCTCTTTAGAAAAGATCCGGATGAACTCAGAGTTGGTACACATCAGTTTAGTCTTGTTTCTTTGTCCACTTCCTCCTCAAGCAATTCACGTTATTTTTAGGTTTAGAAAGAACTCAAGATGAGCCCTGCCTGTTCGGAGTTGACATTGCCTATTATTTACCCTATGTTTTCTGGAGATTACCTGAGATTAGAGCTTCTTTTGTCCCCCTTTTCCTGTATATTTCTTCTCCTTTCATCAAACCAGCTTAAAGCAGTGCAAAGGGATAAAGAAGTTAGCCAGTGCTTGGTAAACATGCCCAGTCCCTGGCTTACGATTTTGCACGACAAACATTCATATGACTTGAAGTACTACTTCTAGATCTAAAAGGGGAGGACATTCTTAAGGAAGCAGGAAAACTTCTTGCTTATGTTTCTTTTGCTTTTAGGATATACCAAAAATTCAAAAAACAACTTCAATATATTTTGACATTCTATGGCAAATTATGTAAAAACGTTTCAATTTTCTTAAAGGACATATGAAACCAAAATTTTTAAGAGATGATAAACCAAAGGCACATGAAAAATTCCAGTCATTTGAGAGTTTATAAAAATGTAGGCTAAAAGTAATTAAGGTGAAAAATCAAATTTAACTTAAATTAACCAAAATTTTCCTATTGATGTTAATACTGGTTTCTTTGCAAAACACACATTGTTGAATATTAACAAAACCCTCAACATTTCTTTGTTGTTTACATTGAGGTCTGTCAAAATGTATTCAATTTCTGACATATTATAATTCCTTGTTCAAGTACACTTTCCTTACTTGCTTAAATAGTGCATTTTATATACACAGAGCTAAGAAGCCCTTGAGGAACTTGGGTGTACAGTGGTTGGTGGTCAGCTGTTAACCTAAGTATGGAGGTTTGAAGCTACCCAGCAGCTACACGGGAGGAAAGGGTTGGCCAACTGTCTATTTGCTTCTGTAGAGATGATAGCCAAAACAAACAAACAAATAAACAAACCCTATTACATAACACCCAGGGTTGCCTTGAGTCAGTATTAATTCAATGGTAACAGTTCTGTTGGTATGTTTGATAGAGTCATTATCAATAAGGAACACTTTTTAGCAGTCTAACAATGTTTGCGCTTTGACACTGGGGCCAGAAGCGGCAATAACTTAGCTGTTTGAATTGACAATGATTTCTCTCACTGTCCCTATTGCTCTTGTATTTTTAATAACAAAGCTCACAAGTCCACTTCTCTTGTTCAATTTTTTTTTTTTTTTTTGGTAACTTTGGGTCATTCTAATTCCTATTGGCATCAGACTGAAACCATGCCTGGTCCTACGCCATTCTCAAAACCACTGCTATGTTGAAGTCATGTTGAAGCTGCTGTGTCAACTCATCTTGTTGAGAGTTCTCTTCTTATCTTCTGACCTGTTTTACCAAACAGGATGTCCTTCTATGAGACCTGGTCCCTCCTGATAATAAGTCCAAAGTATGTGAAATGATGAAGTCTTGCCATGTGTGTTAGAATGAGTTTTCTAAAGCAGCACAACCAGTGTGTGTGTATATAATTTCTTTGTCTTATATATTATTAATATCAATATTATATATCATATATACCATGTATGTGATATTTATATTGAGAGAGAGAAAGAGGGGGGTATATATATATATATATATATAGAGAGAGAGAGAGAGAGAGAGAGAGAAGCGGTTACGTGTTGGACTGCTAACCACAATGTCTGCAGTTCAAAAACACTAGCCAGTATGCTGGAGAAACTGAGGCTTTCAACTCCTGTAAAGAGTTACAGTCAGAAATCCCCAGGGGCAGTTCTACCCTGCCCTAAATCGACTCAAGGCATTGAGTTTGGTTTATTTTGAATGGCGTTTATTACAGGAATATTCAAAGAAAAAACACTGTCTATTCATTGGATTTTTTAAGTTTTATAAAAATGAGTCTAGAAGTTGTTCTAGGAAACATTTTTATAATTGATAAATGAAATGTATTTATGTATTGCCTAAGGCACGTACATGAGATCCAATTTTATATATCCCATCATATCTTGGCAGCAGTTTTCTCAGAGGTAATATAAATGAATCATGCTTAATAATTTTCAAAAGTCCTTTATAACTTAAATAAAAAACCTTCTCTGGCCCTAAAAACATTTAAATATGTAAAATTCATTCAAAACTGAATATTTTAACTAGTTTGCTTTAGACAGGTGTAAAATGAGACATGTTAAAATAGACTTGATTATTAACTAATCCTGTGCACTTCTTGCATTTCAAATACATGAAGTGCTGTACTTCAAAGGACTCCACATTTGGGGTTTTCTTGCTTATTGGTGTGATTTGACAATTTCTGCATACCATTGGGCCAACATTCTTGGAACTAGTTGGCTGTCCAGTTGGCTGTTCTATAAAGTTCTTGGCACAGAGAGGTGAGGGGGCACTTTCAGCTTGGCCTGCTTTGTGTGTTGTTACGGTATTGCCTACTTGTGTTGGACATTCTTCATTGGTAGACATTCAGTGTCTGGAGCCCTGCTTGGGGCCAATGTCTTTAGTGCACCTTAGACTTCTTTGTAAATATCACTGGTTTTGGATCATATGCTACATCCTAAGACAGATGAATGTCGGCCAATTCTTTTTGGTACAGTGGCCCTCCGTGGTCTTTTCCCCTTCTTTTTATACTTCCTAGGTTATTTATTTGTCTGTGTATAGACTCCTTCAACATTGTAATTTGAAGCTTGAATTTTTCCTTCTGTCCTTTCATCTTGATACATGTTGAGCACATTCGTCCCTTTTTTATTTTCTAACTCTACATCATTTCCCACTTCATTGTGATTATTTTAAGCTCTCCTTTGAAATTTTCCACTATTCTACAAAATCGGGGCATCAACAGCTTAAGAGTAGTGATATAGACAAGGAAGATACTCTAGAAGGTGGTGAAAAGGTACTTCATCTCTCATTTTCATAGTACTAAGGAGTCTAAAATATTTATAAATGCTATTTATCTTTCTTCATATTGCTTCGTATTTAGTGTCCTGGTTTTTAAGAGTCTATATTCTCTGTCCAATGCATTAGAAACTGACATTTGGTCAGCAAAGCCATCTTTTAACTTGTCTGCATTTCTCAAGAGACCTCTTCAGGAATTCTCTACCATACAGGGACTTGGATGTAACAGTCTCTCTTTAATTAAAACCTCTCATACATCACATTACCAATCTTAATATTAAACTGCCATATGTGGCAAAATGCTCACATTAAACAAATTAAAACACACAGATGGTCTGCCAAATTCTTACTTTTTACAATAAAATGCAAGAATACTAGCCAAAATAATACTTTTTATCAGTGATCTCCACCGCACTGAAGGCTACATATTACCTCATCGCATTATCAGCAACCCTGATAGCTTCTAGACTTGGACAATTTTATTTGGGATATGACCTTCAAAACGAATTTAAAGTAGAAACATTATTTTTCTGACTTGGTGCTCACCTGGAATTAAAAGGGTGTGTTTTTGAAGAGTTTACTATAGATTTATGTTTTTTAATCTTGCCTAAAATACTTTAAAAGATGACTTTCCCAAATAGCACTTCACATGAAAATTATGGATGGTAGCTATCATTTTTAAATGTATCTCTAAAATTATCTTCTATATTTTAAAAAATGTGATAGTTATATACAATAGCCTACATGTATGTAACTTATCACATCATTTTACATATTACACTTATTTTATACATCTTATATTTAGAAAGCAAACTGCACATTTATTATACCTAACTGATGTTTTTAGATCCATAAGCTTACTTAAGATTTTAAACTGTGTACATTAAAGATTATTCTTAGTTCGTCCTAAAGTTTAACCTTTTTGAAGAGTAAATTGCAAAAGTCTTTATATTTATGATAAGATGAATGTTTAATTATACCATTGCAATAGGCATGAACATGGAGCTATAAAAATGTTAAAAAGATCTATGTGTTTCCTCCTGTGTTTAATGCACTTTTCTCTTTGCGTTTCAGAGCTCTTGGATTTAAACAGAACATCAATCTTCCATAGCCCTTTGGGATTTCTGGATCTCCATACAATGCTGTTGGATGAGTATCAGGAGCGGCTCTTCCTGGGAGGCAGGGACCTTGTGTACTCACTCAGCCTGGAGAGACTCACTGATGGCTACAGAGAGGTACGCAAACACCAAACCGTACTCGGGGACGAGGAAAGGAAAGGAACCCCTTCCTGCATGAGTGTCCTCTCTTGGCTGTGTTTTCATTGTGGTGGCCACTTTTAGGTTCAGAAAGCACTTATTTTATTGAAATAAAGGATTCATCTTAAATGAAATCATTCTGAGAAAGCTTATAAATCATCATGCATGAACTCTTGTACTTTTTAAACATGACCCGGTCTCTGTCTTCCCTGAAGACTTCTGATTGGTGGACTTGGCCTTCCTCTTGCACAATGCTTATTGTCACCGATGACACCCACAGTCCTCAAACCAAAATTTGGAGCCTGTTGAAATGCCAGCATTCGCTTTGGATGTTATTAACTCCCAAATCCAAGCTTGAAGAAATATGGATATGAAACCTCAATATCGCTAGCTCATATATTACTATTGGCAGTATCAATAATTCATGTGGATGCTCAAAAAAATCAAGGGGATGAAAGTATAATACTAAAGTAGACTGATGCCCAAAATGTTGAAGAAAAGGTTAACCATGGAGAGGAGGAAAATGGTTCTTATAATCTCTGCTTCTGCAGAAGGGAACTGAACTATGTTTTTTCCAGATCTGAATTTTACCCAAAACATACTTAAATATTTATACCAAAGTATTTCTGGTATATATGCATATGTTATGCAATTATTTTCCTGATAATTTATTATTATTATTGTCAAAGTAATCTGCATCCATATTTTAAAGTCATTTAAAATTGATGATGAAAAATAACATGCTTTCATTCCTAATTTCTAGGGGAAACATTTCAAAATTGGTTTGAATGTTTCTTCTGGTTGTTACTCCAAATTTTAAGGCAATGCTCACTCATTGTTCTTCCTGAACATCTCTGATTTTTGAGACGATCCGCCTTTCTCTAACGCGAGGTGATGATTGTAGCTTTCTTCTCTGGCAGTGCTACAGCCAAGACATCTGTGTCCCATACTTCACCAGCGACTCCTCAATCATGCCTGCCAGTTTTCAACATTCTTATACCGCAGTTCTTGGTTCAAGAATAATTTAGCATTTACACAATTTTAGTTAGGAAAACAGTATTTACTACTGAGCCAAATGGTATACATTCTTCACATTTTTTTTCTTGGAAAAATGTTCTTGTTCTTCCTGAAATTAAAAATAATCTCTTATTTACATTTGCTTATTGTGCTTTTTAGTACCACTGATGGTGGTGTTGGGCTTTAATATGCCTGGGCAGCAGTTCAAAACCACCAGCAGCCCTGCAGGAGAAACACTGGGCTTTCTACTCCTGTAAACAGCGACAGTCTTGGGTTGGGGTCAGTATGAGTCAGCGTGGATTTGATGGCAGTGAGTCTGGCTACTGGTGACTAAACTCTTATCTTACCGTCACTAATTTTTCACCAAAGTCTACCCGAGTTCTGAGGTCGCTCTCAGTACAGTACACTCATCTGTTTCTACTAATTCCACAGTTTTCATTTCTTGGAGAGGTCCTCTTTTCCAGGGGTTTTCCTTCACCATCGTCCTAGAGGACTCTGCTGGTCACCCTCGTGCACAGTCTAAGCGTCCCTAGCTCTTCATCTTCACCCTGATTGCAGTTTTCCTCGGGAGTTTTGGTCTCTGTTGCATTGTTTGCTGTTGCTTAGTCATTGCTTTACACTTTATAGCATTCTTTATGCAGACTTTAAATAATTTCTCCTGCTTTTACCCACATCTACCCCTACTGCCACCCTCATCGGAACCTCAAACTCGTAATTCCTGAAAATTACTATTTCATCAATCAACTTGTTTATTGACTGTCTAGTCTTACAAGCCAGAAGATTTTAGTTTATTCTAATATATAAAGCCAGCCAATAGTAAGTATTCCTTGTGCTTTAGACCTTCCAAAATGCTGCAGATAATTTTTGATTATACCTTTTATCATTTTATTAATTGTAGGATGAAGTAGAAGCAAATATTGATTTATCACTGATCTTCCTTTTCTAGTATCTTTAATTTTATTTTTCATTGTGGTTCTCTTTTGACTTAAGCATGTACCTATAGTGTTATTTCTGTATGTATGCACATTAATATAGATGCTACTCTGTGTAGGTACACACACATACACACACACATTTATACACATATAGGAGAAGACGCCCTCGTAGTGTGGTGGGCTAAATTTTGAGCTGCTAACCCAAAGGACAATGGTTTGAACCCATCAAACACTCCATGAAAGACACATGAGGCGACCTGCATCTGTGAAGAGTTACACTTGGCAACCCTTTGGAGCCATTATAGTCTGTTCTATAGTGTCACTGTGATTCAGCATTGATACTATAGTGGGTGTACATGCACTCATATACATTTATTAATATATAGGTATATACTTAAGAGGCTTAATGGCGTAATGGTTACCCATTGGGCTGCAATCACATGGTCAGCAGTTCAAAACCACCAGCCACTCAGTAGGAGAAAAACCTGGCTTTTACTCCTTCCGAGGGATGTGGCACCCCAGAAGGTTGAGAAACTTTGCACACACTAAAAATGGTCCTTAAACTGTTGTCCTAAGATCAAGACTGCACAACGCTCATAGAGTGGGAATCCAAATTTATAGCAAACTTTGGAGGTATCTCTTATGTACACCAAGTTTTATAAACATTTTCCTGAGCTCTTGATTCCTATGTGGAACAGGGGTCAAACAGAAATTTCTTACTTGAAAGTTGACGCTCCTTCACAGTAGGTGAAATTGAATCACTATTTATTCTCATTTATTGCTTTGGCCTTATGGTACCCTCAGGCCTTGAATACTGTATCAACTGGTTTTAATGAAAGAAATGACCTGTGGCAACGATACAGGGCAGACGCCTTGGAAAGTGATTCCGTTTTATGAACTGCATCTTAAGGAACAAAGTGCAGTTTGTACACAGCCATTGAAACTTCAGGGTGCCACCGCACAAGGCTGTCAAGGAAAGGAGCTATATAAAAACGATTCCATTTAATAACATTCCTGCACTGATGGGTAAATTCCTCATTTTGTGGGATCTAAAGTTTATGTTATTTAGAATACCACCTCAAGAAATATAATTCATTCAAATCCATGACCCTCACAATTGCTCCGGATCCTCCCAGGTCCTGGAAAGGGCAGCAGGTACCACGAGGAGCCTTGCGGCTCTGAGATAACGCCACTCCACCTGGATTTATTATTTTGTTCTTTTCCTGCCAGACAGCAGGAACATGGTTAGCAATAACATTCCAAAAAGGCTCTTTGTGTTTTCTTTCAGTAGTAGCAAGCATTACAGAGAGCGATACTTCATAATTAGACTGTGAGCCTCATGGTCGATAGTTTGAAAGCAGCGGCAGCTCTGCAGTGCCAGTGCCAGTCTCGGAAGCCCACAGTCAGCATTGACTCAGTGACAGCGAGTTTGGACTTATTTTTCATACTTCATAAACATTCTGTTTCAGACTCTCAACTGCAGGTCAGTTCTCTCATATGCTACAGCTTCAGAAGGGCGCTGTGTCTCCTCCTGGGCCCCCTTCCTTGCCAGTCTTATCTCAGACCTGAGTCCCAGGATCGTTTGCTCCTTCTCACATAATTGAGCTTCTCCTTTCCAACCTTAGTTTTCTCAACATCTGCACCATTGAAATTCTTTATTACTCTTTGCTGACGGCGAACTGCCCCGTACATTATACGCTATTTAGTAGTAGCATTTTTATTCTCTACTCGATAGATGTCACTTTGAAGACCAAGATTCACCTGACCTAAGTCATGATATTTGCCTTTGCCCCATATGCACGCAAAAGCTGGACAACAGTTAAGAAAGACTGAAGAAAAATTGATGTCTTTGAATTATTATGTTGGCCAAGAATACTAACTATGCTGTGGACTGTCAAAGAATAAACAAATCCACGTAAGAAGAAGTATCCCCCAATGCTCTAGAGCAGTGGTTCTCAACCTTCCTAATGCTGCGACCCTTTCACACAGTTCCTCATGTTGTGGTGACCACCTCCCCCCAACCATAAAGTTATTTTAGTTGCTACTGCATAACTGTAATTTTGCCACTGTTATGTATCAGATGACTCCTGTGAAAGGGTCGTTCGAACCCCAAAGGGGTTGCGACCCACCAGGTTGAGAACAGCTGCTCTAGAGGGAAGATGGCAAGACTTCACCTCTCATACACGGGGCATGCCATCAGGAGATTCCAATTCCTTGGGAATGACAAGAACCTTCATAAAACAATTGGTTAGCATAAAAAAGGAAGGCCTTCAATTAGCTCTAAAAGTGGTAGACCCTGAACGAGTTAGATCGACACCGTGACTGCAGCCATGGGCTTACACTCAAGAATGACCTTGAGATGGTGTGTGGCTGGGGAGTGTTTCATTCTGTTGTCTATTGGGTCACTAGGAGGCAGACCTGACCTCTCGGCACATAAATATAAAAACAACAGCCAGTAAATGCCAGCAGCATCCTCCCAACACTCTTCCGGTTGTGAGAAACAAAGCTGTCTTCAGACACTGGCAGACAGCCCATCAGTTGAACCACGGAATCTACTCCATACTTCCACAAGCAGGATTCAGAAGCCTCATGATCAGTCAATAAATTGGACGCCAATCCTTCTTTAGCCTCTTATCTACCTGGTGATGCTGGACCTTTTTACCCCTTCCTATGGGGTTAAATAACCTTAAAGAGTACACAGAGCCAGTTTTATCTACTTCATCATTTCCTGTTCACTTTTTAGTCTTTGATGCATTGTAAAATATACTGTATTATATATAGAAGTTCCTAAACTTAAGATATAAAGAATGATAATAAAATAAACACCTTTGAACTGACCATAAAATGATGAGAATATCACCTGAGAGGGATAGCTATTTTTGTCTCATTTCTCTGTCCCTCCACATCTTTTCTCTTGCTAAGAGGCATTTTCTACTGGTAGTGTATGATTACACAGTTCCTCTGTCACTTTGTCATACTGTGATGGCTTTCAAGCTGCTCTGATACTATACATTATGCCATCGGTAT